ATATATATATATATATATATATATATTTATATGTATGTATGTATGTTATATATATTTTATATTTTTATATATTATAAATTAATAAATATGCATTATATATAAATATATGATATATTATTTATTATTTAAAATATAATATTTTATATACATTTATATTTTTATTATATATTTATATATATTTTTATAATATATTATAAAAATTGAAAAATCAAAAATTCGATGAATCAAACCGACAATTAATTGAACCGGTCACCGGTTAACCAATTGGCTTCGATTTGGTTTCGATTACCAGTTTTCTAAAAACTAGTAGTATCGATTCAGTTACAAGAAAAAGGCACCAAATCTTTAGCACCCCTAAATTATTAGCAGAAATATTTACATAGTTCATTACATCCCGGACCCAAGAATCGTAGCTACTAGCTATTGAACTTAAAAAAGTTAGGGCCCAACCAGGAATTTTTTATGAGGGGACCAAAAGATAAAGTAGATGCGGCGAGGGGAGTAAATATTGATGGGCTCTCGAGGTCCCCAATAAATATTTTTCTTGTTAAGCAATTATGTATATGTTTGGTTTCATTTACGTTTATTGAGTAAATGTTTATTGGCAGTGCCACATAGGCACTTCATCAACAAATACCTCATTAATTGCATTTGTGTGTATCGAAGTTTACAAAAGCAAACTCCAGTTTTTGTGTGCCTCTCCCGTTACAGGAAGCTTCATTTTGGAGCTTCTTGAAACAGGTAGGCGTTTATTGGTATTTTGCTAATGTGGTGCCTAATGGCGCCTATGTGTCATAAACACCCTCATTAATTGTTTTTCTTGGTTTTATAGTCACACAAGTAAAAAACGCTTACTCAATAAATGTAAAAGGAACCAAACACCCTATATATGAGTTGAATGTTATATTTTCTATAACATAACAAGAAGAGAAGAGTTGAATTGATGTAGTAGATCTTAAGTTTGATTGCAACAACTGTAACACATTATACAAATTCGAGTAAACGAGAATATTTCCTATTTTCTTATAAAATGGGAGATACAAGAGGGGCTACACGGCTCTGGGGTAGCACGTCCCCGATAATCCAAACAGTTAATAAAGGCTAAAGCTCTAGGAACCAAACCAATTTTGCTAACCAATCTACAACTTTGTTGGCTTCTCTGTTGACATGTTGGTACTCTATTTTTCCATCAAAGCTTTGGTCAATCATCTTGCAGTTGTCAATCTCCATGGTGACTTGGTCATGTTTTTTAGGCAATCAATGACATGCTTGGAATCCCCTTCGATTGAAATGCATCTATTATTGAAATTTCTAGTTAAATTGTGGGCTTCCCATAATTCAGCTAAACAACCTAGTCTAATGGTGGTTGATCCTATTTTATACGTGTACGTACCATGGTAAGGCGGAGGTTGGTCAGTCTCCGAAGGTCCAAAGATGGCAGTGGGAAAGAGAGCATGTGGGGAAGAGAGGAGAAGAGAAGAGAGGAAGGAGAGTCCCTCTCTCAGAAACCCTAGGTCAAGGTTTTATTGTGTTGTCTCTCCTGGGGAAGAATTGCTCTCCCCCTTTTATAGAGAAAAAGTTAAAGTTATCAAGGAAGAAGTTCTTTCATGTTAGGAAAGGGAATCTTTTTTTGTTAGGAAAAAAGATATTTCCTTTTGTTTGATTATTAAGGGATCATTATTAGAGAATCCTATCCCTTCTAAATTCTCTCCATATGTGACCCTATTATATTTACGTGGTGTGCGTGACGTCATCATTTGACGGGTGTACTTTCACTAAACCCACATGTGTAATTTAAAAACGCACGTGTAACCGACATTTATTCCCGATCTACTGTGATTTTGCAGTTCTATAATGGTGTCGAGTTCATCGGTGTTCGAGGTTCATCGCAAATCCACGCGTGTTCAAGGTCCATTGCAAATTCGCGCATGTCTTATAGGTCATCATAGATTCACACGTGTCTAAGCTTTATCACAGATTCGCGCTATCCGAAGTTCATCGTGACCTATCCCGGGTATGAGTTCATCACAATTGCAGATCTACGATGAACTCATCGCAAACGTGCAATGGGTTATGGATTCATCACAGGCGTCCATGTAGCGTTGGTTTGACACCCTTTGTACTTTGATGGTCTTAGCGATCACTATGTACCTACATTAATCCCCCTGCTTATTGGTAAGCGGGAACTTACTGATAAGCATTTTTTGTTGTCGTGTTTGCTTCAGGGTTTCACAATGGGGCGATGAGGAACAGTTTTGTAAATGTTGTGGCATTTTGATCTTTTCATATTAGGCTTGGTGATCATTCCTGTTCTTGGTGAGATGCCCTACAATCTTTGTGTGTGGAAAAATTTTATTTTGGTATGTTTGGTAGCCCCCCCACCCGCTTATTGAGCATTGTGGTATTCAACTTAGTAATGTTCTTGGATGGGAATCAAGAGTTTTCATTTTGTGATTCATTCCCCCTATCTTTTTGACAGGGTGTCGTGTTGACTCATATTTGCTTTTCGGATCATCGGAGTTTTTTGCAGGTATAAGCGACGGAAACATCATAGGAGCATTTTGTAAGGTATAGTTCAATATTTTCTCAATTTTAGTCCCCCTGTTTCTTAATAGAAGTCATTGCATCAAGAGACAAGTGAAATGAATAGTTGGCTTCTTTAATGTTCAGCCCCCCTGTATCTTGATAGAATGTCTTCTATCGAGAAACACTTAAGCTAGGTGGTGGTCGGATACGTAGTGAAGGCGAAGGATTTGATGAACCTCAAGACGCATGGGCAAGGCTTTAGAAAATATAGTTGTTATGAAGAAGGATTGGGCTTCTATGTGGACACCCGTAGTTACTCATCAGGGGTAGGGGAGTTATCTCATATGCCATTGTGTGAGTGGGTAGATATTCAATGTTCTTAGGGGAAGTTGGATCCTTCATGGACTTGGTCGCAAATGAGTATCTCTAAAACTGTTGATCCTTGATTGTGATGAGGTACTATCACAAGTATAACTACACCGTATTTATGAACTATCGTGGGAGGCGGAGTTTTACACTCCCCTTAGTTTCGACATGGACATCATTTTAGAAGATGAAAGGTCATTAATGGCAAGATCCTTGACGGTGTTCGAGTGATTTTCTTGAATGAGGTTATCGTTATGTGTCTGTCGGTCTTCATCGTATACAAGCATTAGTATCGGTGCGATAAATGTTATCACAAACATCAAAGGCAAGCAAAGATAGTAAAATGCAACCAGTGGAAATTGCCTTAGATGCCATTACACAAATAATGAGATGATTTAGCAATTGCACAAGAATAGTCCCTGCATTACTTTGTTAGTGAAACACAACATCGTTATTCATGAGTCTCGGCTTTTCGAAAAGAATTTGTCCATCGCATTAGAAAAACACTTGCTCTTTTCATGTGAGCAATACATGAATAGTTAGAATGTCATGGTGCTTGATTGATTATTGTTGTGGGCAAACTACTTGGTTTTGCAACTTGTTACCTTTGGTTCGTGAGCGAATGCCTCTATATCTCAAAACGCTTAGAGAGAAGAAGGAAATTTGCTTATTGTTCTATTTCATGAAACATCGCTAGGTGTGATAAGGTTATCTTGGTATGATGTAACAACTTAGTATGCACCTGGGAAAGGTGAAATTGAACCTTTTAACATGGGAATATGATTTCCCGGGGAATGAGACAAATGTTGTCTGGCACGGGGAAGATAAGTCTCCGAGCAATATGGTTTAGGGATCAAGGTAGTCCTTTATTGCCTTTTGCGATGAGTTTTTATCTTGAGGGAAGTATTTGATCGAGCGTTGTTCGTAGTTAAGTGTTATAATTTACGTCTCAAATTGTTGCATTTACAGGTTAAGCTGAATATTTGTATTAGGTAGAGAACATACCTGATATTGCTGAAGCATCCCTGGGATTGCCAAGGGTGTGAGTGCCCCTTAGTTTGGAGGCCCAACGCAAGTGTTAAACGTTGTTGATAAGAAAGAAGTTGATATTAATAAAGCCCCTCAAGGGTTGCCTAGGGATGTGAATATGCCTTGGATTGCCATGGAGTCTGGGTGCAAGCCTGGGGCTGCCAGGGCCTTCTCGGGATTGCCGGAGAATCTGAGTACACCTGAGGCTGCCAGGGCCTTCTTGGGGTTGCCAGGGAATATGAGGACACACCTGGGGTTGCTAGGGCCTCGCATGGGGCATGCAGAATCTAGGGCGGACCAGGGTATGCAAGAGCACACCTGCCAGAAAAGGGCCTTCACATGGGGCATGCAGCATCTTGGTGGGCTAGGGTATGTGAGAGTACACCTGCCAGAACAGGGCCTTCACATAGAGCATGCAGCATCCTGGATAGACCAGGGTATGTGAGAGTGCACCTGCTGGAATAGGGCCTTCGCATAGAGCATGTAGCTTCCTGGTAGACCAAGGCATTCGCATGGAGCATGCATCATCCTGGCGAACTAGGGTATGTGAGAGTGCACCTTCTAGAACAGGGCCTTCGCATGGAGAATGCGGCATCCTAGCGGACTAGGGTATGTGAGAGCGCACCTTCTAGAACAAGGCCTTTGCATGGTGCATGCGGCATCCTGGCGGACTAGGGTATGTGAGAGCGCACCTACCGGAACAGAGCCTTCGCATGGAGCATGCGGCATCTTGGACGGACCAGGGTATGTGAGAGCGCACCTA